CTTTCTCAAGATTGCTTTGGCTATTTGGAATATCGTGTAGTTCCATACAAATTTTAGGTTTTTGGTTTTTTTTTCTATTTCTGTGACAAATGCCATTAGAATTTTGGTTTTGCATTGAATCAATAGATTGCTTTTAGTGGTATGGACATTTTAACAATAATAATTCTTCCAATCCATGAGCATGGAATATCTTTCCATGCATCTTCTTCAATTTCTTTGATCAAGATCTTAGAATTTTCATTGTACAGCTCTTTTACCTCTTGGTTAAATTTATTCCGAAGTATTTTATTCTTTTTCAATTGTAAATGGGATTGTTTTCTTAATTTCTTTTTCTGACAGCTTGTTGTTAGTAGATAGGAATGCCTAGAAAGTAGATAGTAGATAGATATCTAGATAATAAATAGAAAACTGTTTTTTGAATATTGATTTTGTATCTTGTAACTTTATTAAACTCCTTTATTATAATAGTGTTTTGGTGGTCTTTAGGGTTTTCTATATATAATATGTCATCTGCAAATAGAGACAGTTTTACTTCTTTCTTTTTACTTTGGATGCCTTTATCTTTTTTTTTTTTTTTTTTTGGTCTTACCTAATTGTTCTGGCTGGGACTTAACAATACTATATTGAATAAAAGTTGTAAGAGTGGACATCTTTGCTTTGTTCTTGATCTTAGAAGAAGAGCTTTCAGCTTTTCAAGAAACCACTCATTGTTAATGACATAAAATACTAGGACAAAATTCAAATAAAGCAATGATATCCAGCATCTTCTCATCTTCTGTTCAAAACTGTCTTTCTTAAGGGCTGCCTTTGTTGTCCTATCTGCTTTTTAAGAGCTCAGCATCTTCCTGCTGTCCCTTGCTTGCTCAGAACTCCTAGCCAAGCCTTACTCAGGCCCCTCTTCCTCTCAGCTACTTGTCATCAGACACAATCTTCTGTCCCTCCCTGATAGCTTCTGCTGGTTGTCCATATTCCTCTCCATCTGAAGGCTGAGATTGAGCCTAAAGCATAAGGCTTTGAGCAGTTTCAGCATCTGTCCCCACCTTTTCCATCCTCACCACCATTGGTAATCCTACCCAAAATGTGGTGCCTGGTGCTGACCACTGGGCTTTTACAATGTATCCCAGGTTGAAGCCTCCATCTGGTACATTTTGATATTAGGGCCCAGCTCCTAATCTCTGGAAGTTTCAGACAATACATTCACTCCTTCAGGTAATAGAACTTGCTCATTTTTCTGAGTTCTGTCTTGTCAAATACCTGGCATGCCCATTCTGTTACAGAAATAGGCTCAGCCACGCAATGGCCAAAGTTTTTCTCAGGGTTCAGCTGATGCCTAGTTTCTGATATCTGTTGATGCCTTTTATATCCTGAGCTTTCTTGGCATTATCCAAGCAAATCCACCATCACTGTGTCCCTTTACTATAGGGTTTTTGTCACCAACTATTTCCAATTTGCTGTAATCAGCCCCTATCACAAAGAGAGTTCCCTTGCTCTTCCCACCCCCAGTAAGAGAGAGAGGCCTTGGTCTGTGCCTCATTTTATTGGAGATTAAGTGGGCAAAAATCTGCATAATCTAAGAAATGGCAACTTCACACTTTCACCTCACTGACTTCCAACTCAAAAGTTGATGACTGAGAACATCTCAGCTCAGTGCCATCCTTCACAACTGCTTTATTAACCTAGGAATGCAGTTTTAATGGCAGTCCCATTGAGGAGGATTAGAGGAGGATTTGGGGATTTTCACCACTTCTTGAATCATTCCACACAAAGCTCATTTCACCTACAGGTAAAATAGTTTCTTTCTCCCTAATTTATGTCAGGTTAAGGAAGAAAGGAACTCAAAGAACCTTTCAGAGGAAAATTAAGAAATGAACAAAGGCTGAGTAGAAAGCTTTTTTTTTTTTTTTTTAAGATTTTATTTATTTATTTGAGAGAGAGAATGAGACAGAGAGCATGAGAGGGGGGAGGGTCAGAGAGAGAGGAAGACTCCCCGCTGAGCAGGGAGCCCGACGTGGGACTCGATCCAGGGACTCCAGGATCATGACCTGAGCTGAAGGCAGTCGCTTAACCAACTGAGCCACCCAGGCGCCCAGTAGAAAGCTTTTTAATGGGTGCCAGGAGCAATCTTTCTTTCTGTGCCTCAAAAATTGTCATTATCCCTGGGTTTAAAATCTGGTAGATATTGACTATGAGCCAATTTGAGAGTTGTGAGGCTCAGAAAATGCCTTTGTCTTATCAAAAAAACAAACAAAAAACCCACGTTTTACTTTTTTCTTAAAAGTTGTCTTTACTCTTTTAATCACTACAGAAGCAAAAGAAATAATTTATAATTGAATCAAGCTGAGGTTATGTATTCCCAGAATAGGGGTACCTGGGTGGCACAGTCACTTAAGCCTTTGGCTCAGGTTGTGATCTCAGGGTCATTAGATTGAGCCCCACGTGGGGCTCTATGCTCAGCATGGAGCCTGCTTGAGATTCTCTTCCTCCCCCCCCACCCAGCTCACACACGTGCACATGTGTGTATGCACTCTCTCTCTCTAAAAAAAAAGTATTCCCAAAATATAGGAATATTTTTTCTGTTCATAATGTCATAATTGGTAAATCTCCCCTTTAAAGTGATTCTGGGGGCACCTGGGTGGCTCAGTCATTAAACATCTGCCTTCAGCTCAGGTCATGATCCCAGGGTCCTGGGATCAAGTCCTGAATCTGGCTCCCTGCCCCACTGGAAGCCTGCTTCTCCCTCTCCCACTCCCTCTGCTTGTATTCCCTCTCTCGCTGTGTCTGTCTTTGTCAAATAAATCCATAAAATCTTTAAAAAAAATAAGTGATTCTGTGCTAGCTCAATTGGTCTCAATGCTTGCAGACCCAAAACCTTACTTTTTATCCCAAATATTTGGTAATACTTTTACCATTCTAAAATAAAATTTACAGATAATATAACCCTCCTACAGTATTATATATATAGTATTCTAACTGTAACATAAATGAATAATGAAGGAGAAAGTTATTTATAATAAAGTAATATATTTTAATATATAAATGCTCAGAGATGATCACAAAAGGAGACAAATCAGGCAGTCTGATGTGGGCACCTATATCTAGTATCCTACCTGAATACAACTGCTACAAATACTGCTTACAGGTGTGTTGTGTTGTATTTTAATGCCGCAGATGGTATTGACATTGATACTGTGCTTTTCCAAAGGAATGAACAACTCTTGGTAAAGTTCTGAGGAAAACAGAATAAAATCTTTCCTCCAAGGAGACGAACCATGAGAGACTGTCTCTGAAAAACAAACTGAGGGTTCTAGAGGGGAGGGGGTGGGGGGATGGGTTAGCCTGGTGGTGGGTATTAAAGAGGGCACGTACTGAATGGAGCACTGGGTGTTATTTGCAAACAATGAATCATGGAACACTACATCAAAAACTAATGATGTAATGTATGGTGATTAACATAACATAATAAAAAAAAATCTTTCCTCCATATCCATGGTAGCTACATTTCTGGAAAATTCAGAAAATTAAAACTGTACCAAAAATTACTATGTATTTGTGAAAACTAAATAAAACCTGACTATTATGAGCATATGTTCCATTTCATAAATGTCTGGAAGAACATTCAAATACACAGCAAGACCTGATAATTATTTACTATGCAGAGAGTTGTGTGCAAGGCAAGATGTCTAGTCTCTGGCCCCAGCAACAAAATGCCAGTAGTACATTCTTATAATTTTGATATCCAAAAATGGCCTTAGAGGCCAGTGATGCCCCACTCCTGCATGAGATTCATTTTCATAGCAATTAGAGACAATAAACAGACAAATTGAAAATTTCCAATTATATTCTAAATATTAATGAATAAGTTATTTTATATTAGGGAGTACTGCATCTCTGTATGTTGGATAATATTTCTTACAGGTCCAAAGAAATAAGCCCTTTATTATAATATATAATAATACAGGGAAAAACACAATCTCCTGAGCTCAACAAATTTAAAATCTGGAAGAGATTGTAATATAATTTACAAGCTAACAGATAGTATGATAATAAGACACAGATATATAAGAAGAGAAATTTGATATAATTTCCATAAATAACTGTTTAGAAATTTTAATATTTTACTATTTATATCATTCTATACTATTTTTATTATATTTTACTATTTTCTTATTTATGGGTGTAACAAATTTTTTAAAAACTTCTATGGGTCTTAGAAATTTACAAATGTTGTAAGTCAAAATGAGAAGAAAAAAAACTAAGAAAAAATGGGAAAAGAAGACAGATAAGAAATAAAGGAAATATAACTTAAAAAAGAACATAAATTTTAAAGCAGGAAAATTTTGGGAACAAGTCTATGAAGCATGTTGCTGCTTTTTCTTTCTCAAAATTAACTTCTATGACTCAGTAATTTTAGTGATTATAGGAACTCACAGGGATATTTCTTATTCATCTGGTAAATTTGTAGATCCATCGAGTGTAAACAAATTTAAAATAAGTCTTTAAATTCTGATCCTTTATTTTGCTGGGAAAAAAATTTTACCTTAATTCATTCTATTCTTCTATTCCTATCATAAATTGCTTTAGTTCTGAAGCATTAGATACGAAACTGGATCAGTTCCTCAGAAAGTTTCAAAATTATGAAACTTTGAAGGAAATAGTAGAAATATAGGCAAGAAGGGAAAAAGCCCACAAGCCTATGTATCAACTTAGCAGCCTAATCTCATAGTCTAAATTAATTTTTCTATATATTTCTCAAAAGTTCTTTTTTTTAAGAATATTGTTTTCATTTATTTAAAGACTCATAACCTTAAGGAGAGAAGGAAACTCTAAAGAGTGTAACTTTCTGTTTCCAAGGTAAATCTAAATTAACTGTGGCCCAAGACATCTAGAGATTTTTCTCAAAAAACAGAAAGGGAAAAATGTAATCACTTCCCTCAGGAACTCATTTTAATGCTTAGAAGCATATTGGTCAGGAATATTCTTTAACTTATAGTTTCACCCTTATACATATATGTTTAGTAAGCTTTTAAATGATTTTTGGAGTTATTGAGGATGTTGATCCCATGTCCTTAAACTTGACCTTTCAAAGGACAAATCTAGATAACCTTGTTATAGCAGAAGGTCACAAGGACTTCTGTTTCTCTTGATTTCTAGATAAGTGACTTCCCACGAAAGTTATGAAATCTAGAAAAGTTTCTTACTGTTCTCCCCCTTTACCTGATATTTGTCAAGGTGGGAGTTGAATGGATATCTTATCTGGTTAGTCAATAGAGTTTGTGTCTTTGGGGCTGATTCATTGCCAGGGTTAATTTACCTAAGGTTAAGTGAAATGAAAAGAACTAGAGGGCTGAATCCAATCCAAAGCCTACAGAAGATCATGCTTCAAACTGATGAAACTAAATAAGCTGGTGAAGCTCAGAAACCATTAGGCCCATGGTGCCCAGATGGGCCAAGTAGACCTTTTGTATTGGAAAATAATGCAGTATTGTAACTCCAGGTAGACTGAACATCACTAGTCTTTCTAAAGGCATCATTTAGGGGTGGTAGGGATTAAATAAGGACCGGAGTGAATGCTCTGACATTTTATAGTCCTTTTATTTGGGCGCATTAAGGCATGGTTTTAATCAAGTAATGAAATAACCCCTCCTACCTCTCTATGCCCATTTTTACTCCCAGTATAAAGGAATTTTGAATACTGTAGTTTGTGGCTAACGGCACAGGAGGCAATTCCATAGGTCAGTTATCTTTTGCTTACAATGGCTTCCTCCGAGAACAAAGAGCAACAAATCAAAGCAGCTAACTGCTGTTACACTCAAGAAGATTTCGTTATAAAAGGCAACAGTGTCGTTACAGTCATGTGAGTGTGCCACCGTGTACAAGTAATAGATCCTAAAGAAATGGTACGGAAGGAAGCAAATCAGGATGACTCCGATAAAAAATAGGTTTTTCAGCTGGGCCCAGAACTCCTGGTGGGATAGTAAGGAGTGGCGTAGCTTCCGCACCATTGACATAATGATGAAGATCTGGAAGACCAAGAGAACCATCGCCGTGGCTATGACAATGGTAACTATCATATAGTTGATAGCTCGCACGTATACACGACCAAGCTCCTTGTGGAATTTAAAACAGTGCTGCTCGTCATACACCTGGTGCGTTCCATACTGAGCAGCAACCACGGGTACCACAATGACAATCACCAGCAGCCACATGCCAGCACTGGCAGCCACAGCATGCAGCTTTCTGTAAAACTCCACTTTGTCCTTGCGCTTGAAGAAGATGAGGTACCGAATGACCAGGATCACCACGTAGAACAGGAATGTGAGGTACATGTGGATGTGTAGCATGGCACTCACAAATTTGCAGAAGCGCAACCCAAACATCCAGGTGTGCTTGATGAGATATGTCAAGCGAAAAGGCACTGTCAGCAGAAAAACACTGTGGACCACCACCAGGTTAACAACCGCTGTGGTAGTTACAGATCGGGTGTTCATGTTCACCAGCAGGAACAGAATGGAGATGATGCCTGCCAGCCCTCCAATGAGCACTAGGAAGTAGAGCCTGGTTAAATGGGGTGTCAGTATAGGGCTGCAGGAAGAAATGTTGTGAGTCATACTTCAGAAGTCACCTGGAAGAGAGGAAACACCAATGTAACTGACAAACTTCCAGAGCTTTGTTCTTCTCTCCTTAGCACTAGCAATGTGATTTTGTCATTTATCTGTTTATATGATGTCAACTTTATGTACCTTAAGAATAAAGACTATGTCATATGCATATCTATATACCCAAGACTGAAAACATAGTAAGTCATTGATTCTGAAGCATTAATAGGTTAAAGACCTCATCGAGAGGCCCCCAAAGACGTCTGTGTGTGCATGTGTGTACATAGTCAAAACAGTTTGCATAGGGACGCCTGGGTGGCTGAGTGGGACTGCCTTCGGCTCAGGTCATGGTCCCAGGGTGCTCTCTCTCTCAAATAAATAAATAAAATCTTAAAAGAAAAAAAGTTTGCATAGAACTAGATTGCAGACCATCTGAAGCTGATTCATGGATACTAGTATTGCAGCTGCCAGTGGGGGGAAAATTACAACATGGAAGGAAAGTTGAGTGCGTGTGTCAAGTACACAAAATGTTTTCTTTAAGTATGATTCTAATTCTCTAATTCCTTTCAACTCATCAGCAAAAGATTTAAGAATATACATAATTCATTTAGGATACTGATTAGTTTGGCCAAAGAAAATTAGCTAAGTCAAAGCAGCAACAATCAATAGGAGTGTATATGTGAATTTCTTGTCATATGTTATCATCTAGCAGTGAGACCTTGGCTAAGTTTTCATGGGCCCCACTGAAAATGCAGCATATCACCCAATTCTCCCATTCCCACACCCTCAAATGCGTAAAAGAACCACTATCATTTTTCCTCTGGAAAGATCCTTTCCCTAAATAGTCTTGGTCCCTTCTAACTCATTATCCATGTTCTAGTTTATTATTTATTAAGTGAAAGATTTAGTAACCTTTTAATTACACTCGTCAAGTCCTTTCATTTTCTTATTTAAATCTCTTCAGTGGCTTCCCATTTCTTTTAAGATTAAAAAATCCTTCCATGTCCAGAATGTTCTGGGTCATAGCAAAATCTGATCCCTTGAGACCAGATTCAGGAAATAATCTAGAGGGGGGGCACCTGGGCCGCTCATTCAGCTGAGCATCTCATTTCATTCAGCTGGGGTCATGATCTCAGCGCCTTGGGATCGAGCCCCGAATGGGGCTCTGTGCTCAGTGTGGGGAGTCTGCTTATTCCTCTGCCCCCCCAACCCCCCCCATGCTCCCTCTCTAATAAATAAAATCTTAAAAAAAAAAGAATCTAGAGGTGAAATTGATAGAATTTAATGGATTGTATATGGGGAAATGAAGGGAAAGAAGGTATCTCAATCACTCCTACATTTCTAACTTGAACAATTGTGTGATTAGAGATCTGTTTACTGACAACAGGGAGACTGAGGATCAAATTTGTGGAAGAACAGTAGTTGAATTATACTTAGTGCCTTTGTAACACATTTGCAATTAGTTTTACTCACTTCATGAGTGTCTCTTCATATAATTAAAATTACCCAGCAACAAAAATGAATTACTAATGAATCACAAAAGCATTATACTTGCATACATGTAAATCATATTCTCAAAAGTGTATTCCTGAGGTGTGAAAAAGACCTTACTTTCTATGTATAAAGCATAAACACCCATAAGTACATAAACAGACATAGAGTTTATCTATGGTATTAAAATTTCATAAGGAGGGGAGAAACAAGGAACAAATGGCTAAAAAGGCTCTTTATAAGGGCGATAATTTTAAAAGTTAAGAAACATTGTACTAAATAAAAGATGCCAGCCACAAACGACTACATATTGTATCATTTCTTTTTCTAGAAAATCAAAATTAATGAGACAGAAGATCAGTATAGCCCAGGGCCTATGTTGCAGGGGAAGGGATTGACTTCAAAGGGGTATGGGAGAATTTATGGAGGGATGGACTGTTTTATATTATGTCGGTTACAATTCTAGTGATTTGTCAAAGCTTATCAAATTGCACACTTCTTGCATATAACTTATTCCTCAATAAAACTAACTTAAAAAAATAATAAAAATAACCTGAGCCCAGGGAAGCTCTGCTTTTGTGGGCATGGAATAGGATTTCCATGTACCCACTTAAAAGATTGCTTCATGTTATATCTGTTCTATGTGATGTGTAATCTCTGTATTTGTCTTTTATTTTTCCCTTTGAAAAGTAGTTCCTTCAAGTAAACACATAGTTATATTGTGTTTGTATCTGAATCAGGGTGAATGTGCCATCGTAAGTTCTGTCCATTATTTTCTCCAGCTATTGAACTAGAATCTGGACTGGCTTCTGAAAGAAGAAAGTATCATCAGTCGCATATCATCTGTCTCAAATCTTTTTTCTTTCTTATAAACTGCCATGGTCTCTCTATAACAACCAAGCCTGGTTCCAGACATTCCAAGATACTTTGTAAGGTATTACAGACTATAGACGCCTCTGCTTAAACCAGCTAAAGCAGACAACCTGCAATTAACAACCCTGTTCAGAAGTAACATGGGATTTTTTTGTTTTTTGTTTTGTTTTTTGAGAGAGAAGAGGGCATGCGCACACACGTACATGTGTGGGGGGGAGGGGAGCTGCAGAAGGAGAGGGGGAGAGAAAGAGAATCTTAAACAGGTTCCACGCTCAGCATGGGGCCAATGAGGGGCTCAATATCATGACCCTGAGATCATGACCTAAGCCGAAATCAACAGTCAGACACTTAACCAACTGAGTGTCCCAGGCACCCCAATTTTTTTTTTAAAGAGAGAGAATCAGGGATGATCCTAACGTTTTTTTGTTTTTATTTTTAAAGATTTTATTTATTTATTTGACAGAGAGAGACACAGCAAGAGAGGGAACACAAACAGGGGGAGTGGGAGAGGGAGAAGCAGGCTTCCCGCAGAGCAGGGAGCCCAATATGGGGCTCGATCCCAGGACCCTGGGATCATGACCTGAGCTGAAGGTAGATGCTTAACAACTGAGCCACCCAGGCACCCCACCCCAATTATTTTTTAATAAATGAATGGGTGAAATAATGGTGAAAAACCTTCTTGACTTTATTAAACATATTCTTGATAGAGCCCCATTTGGATCTAATCCAGTAACTGATGTCAAGATCCCAGAAATAAACTATAGACCCAAAGCAAACTCTCTTAAGGGAGCGGGACTGTCTCCCTGTTTCTCCATGAACCACCTTGCCTTGGTAGGGATCTCTTCTTATCTGTGATTGACCCCTGAAGCTCAGCAAGAAGCTTGGCTGCACATTCAGTTTCCCTCTGCCCTCTTTCATTCCCCTGCTTAAAATTCTTTGGTTCCTTTGGCACCTACCATGTCTTACAAGCCCTTTGCAATCTGACCCCAACTTATGTTTCAAGGCATACGTCCTGTTATGCCCACCCCCACCTCTATTTCCTCACCCTCATCCTATGCCCTGGACTTGTATACTTTCATGCCTTTCCTACAATGCTATCTTTCAAACCTCCAGGTTTCTTCTCTCTGTAGACCCTAAATGTACAGCTAGACACTGAGTCTGAAGTCCAATTCTATGATAAATTATTTTATGTCTCTTCTTAAAAAACTTCCCCAGGCCTCCCACTGTCTCTTGGAGATGTGTAAACGTCTTAGCATGCCATGCTAGATCCTTCCCACTGGCTTTTGTAGTTCCATATCTAGCCTCTCTGCCACTAGAGCACCAGGATTCTCCTGTTCTGCTTGAATGATTTCTTCATTATTCTGTTCTGACCTCAGCCTACGTACTGCAGAGCTCCTCAGCTTAGCCTGTGGTTTGGCTGGGGGCTATTTCCCTGTGTCTTGGAAGTTCCCTTCCCAATGCTTTGCCCACAAACTTGCTTGGGCCTTGGTGGTCATTGCCCATGGCCCGAGGACTACCTTAATATCAGAAGTGAGACATGGAAGTGGCTTCTGTAGTTGTTTTATAAGGAATCCATGATAGAGCCAACATCAGATACCAGTCTACAAAGTGAGAGTCCTAAGAAATTTATAGAGTCCTACAAAATGGCAGTAAGCAGTCCATGTCCTCATGAGTGCATAACACCGTAGGTCCCAGACCCCCTTATTTCTAAACAGAAAAGCGGCTACAATCAACTTGGGATTTTTCATTTCATTTAATAAACAAGTCATGTCATTGTGTCTTTTGTATAGCGCATAGTGAAGATTCTGAGATGAACAAAACACATCCCTGCATTTAAATCTCTGTCTGATAGGGGAGGAAGAGGTACATAAATTATTTACAACACCTATAGGTACATAAAAAAATGCCACAGGAATTCAAAAAGGGGAGTAGTTAATTTAACAGACAGTGGAGAGTGAAAGCATCAGAATGTAGTGGCAATAGAGTAATTCTTGGGCACAGATGTATAACAGGTGCTGGATCTTAAGGAAAGCTTTGAAGTTCCAGATGCAGAGAGGAAGAGATAGAGTACTCCAGGTATAGACAAGAGTCTGAGAAAAAGCATGGATGCATGTTCAGAGAATTACCTATAGTTTGATGTACCTGGAACATAAGGTAAATGAGTAGAACACAGGCGAATGTAGATGTGGATGAAGCTTGCCAAATACATAGCATGTTGCCACTCTAAGGATTTTTTATTTTATCCTGAAAATTATGAGAGATGCAAATTTTAAAATATAAAATGCCATTTAGTATTTCAATTCCAAAACCTGTTTTTTTGTTTTATTGGAGAAAAGATTAGAGGAGGGCAAGATAAAAAGAGTGATACCATTAGCAGGCTATTGTACTGATCAAGTTTAAATATCATAAGGATTGGTGCAAGGTGATACCACTTAGGGGAATTTGCCCCGAAAGTAAACAAAATTGAAGACTCTGGGGTTGGAGAAACCAAAAAATGTGAATTTAAACTCTTGATGAAAATTAAAGAATTAAAATTCTTGGTGAATAGAAGTTGGTATGGCTTACAAAAGAGGAACTATCTGAACTGAGCCTCTGGTAGTGAGGGGGAGAGAGAGAATCATTACTGACAAGGCAAAGAATAAGACAGAATCAATGGTGCTAA